CGATTCAATTATATTTCATATTCATTTAATATCTTTTAACTTATTATTATGCCAGTGAATTTCCTCTTACTCTTTCTCAAGAGGATAATGTTCCTCTTTGGAAACAAAAAATTCCAACTTACTTTTTAAGTAAGTGTCATTCATGGGTATATTATGATAATGGTTTGCTCTTGCCTGCAGCATGATCAGTGCAACTCCTAGTTTCTACCAAAATCACAAGACAAGAAAGAATTTAATGAATTCAGCTCTAATAACATATAATAATGTAACTGATTGAAGAATGCCTGCTTTAAAATTTTAAAAACATAAAATATGAAAATTTAAAAAGTTTCTTGAAGGTTACATGATCCATATCGCAATTAAAAGATTTTCGTCTGAAAAAAGATTGGCAGTAAAGGATCTAAGTGAGGCATCAAATCTTTCATTAAATCTCTCTAGGGCCAATTTTTATCTGGTAGGTTAGTGTGACAGTAATCATGTAATCAGTTGCTACAATGTAATTATTGGGTTGTGTGTTGGCAGAGGACAGTGGTTGATGTTGGCAAAACACAGTCGTTAAAATTTTAACAAGACAATCAACCTCCAAACAGCATCACACTGGGGACACCAGAAGTTTGTATTTCACATTGTTAATTACCCACCTTCCAAGCACTTTCCCCTTTCCTAACTTCCTGTTTTTTCGGGTTTTTTTTGTTGTATTTTTTCATTGCTCTGGAAACAGGAGATGAAGAAAGATAGTTTATTTTTTTAGTTTTTTTTTTTAAATAATAAATACAAGAAAAAAAAAATTCTTTTTTGTGCATCCTATTTGTTTGTAGGTTGTTTTTTGATTGTTTTTGTTTTTCAGTTGACATTTATCTGATTTTTAAAAATATTTTTAAAATATTTTATCTGATTTTTTAAAAAATATTTTATAATGTTTTTTAAAGAAGCAAAAGAAAAGCTTTAAAAATTAGCATCAAAATTTGAAAATGTTACTCTCAGCAAAGAATAGCTTTTCTCCATTTTAAATCAAATCCACTTAAAATTTTAAAAATGTAAAACTTTACCACAGTCTAGAAGGATTGGATTGATATAAGAAATGATGCAACTTGAAATCAATATCACCTTCCACAAACTATAACATTTACTTGATTTTTAAGAAAATACATTTCTCATTGATGATTGTCTATGTTTCTGCCATAATGTAACTTCTGTCAACCTTTTCTATAAATATTTTCATGGGAATTTTTCTGATAAACTTTCCTCTTTGGTACTAAGATTTTATGAATTGAAGCACAGTCCAAGGTTGGTAGCATTTTACAGTTGAATTTGCTAGGTGTAATCATAAGTAGTATATTAGCAGTTATTTTCTCACACATCTCACTCGTAGATCTGTCTTCTGGATTCTTGCTTTCCGCTAAGCTTTAATCTTCAAAAGTTTGAATGCAATATCATTTGTTCTTTTCTGTCTTCCTAATTCCTATATTATTGTTCTCTCTTTTTGATAATGTTTTCTTTTTTGCATATTCTTTCACATTCACTAACCCCTTATGTCTTAGTGGCTTTATTACTGATTAAAAAAATGTTTTATTAAAACAAATAATTTATCATCCAAATTTTGGGTTATTTAAATATGAAACATATTTTTGGATTGTAAGAATAATTGATTTTTGTGAGTATATATTGCATTACCATTTTTTTTGAGAAAAGCAATTATTTTTCAAAGGGGGGAGGTGGCTTTATACCTTTCCCAAGGTTATTTAAACTAAAGTGAATGTCATAAAGTTGACTGGAATTGGAACTTGGCTCTCCAATTTCATATTCTGAGCAGTTATCCATCATAACATCCATTGTATTTCCAAGTAGTCCCCCATCTAGGAACTGACGAGGTTCAACATTGCTTAAATACAGTGATCATACATTCTTAGCTGCTATTCCTTTCATCACCTGCTCATCCATAATAATTGCAGAGATGACTTGATTGATCGATTGATTTGTTTTTTACAGATTATCAGCCTTTTGCAGGATATTTAAAACCAGAAAATATTTTTAGATTGTGAGATTTTGGGGAGATAATAATAATTTACAAATGCAAGTCATACTTATATCTGTAAATCAGATTAGATAGCACCACGCCAAAGAATTTTCTGAATAAATAAGTTACTTTACTTTCAGTAAGTGCAATATTTGATAGCTCAAAGTTCTGGTTGAACTTATATGTACATATAACTGATGCATTTGATAAATTATTGTGAATAACATCCTTTTTGTATTCAGAAATATAACTTTTGTAATTTTTGAAAATTTCCCAAATATATTGTAAAGAACAGTTCTGACATTTCATACATTTTCCTTTTGTCTTTAATCATATTGTCCTTTTATCGATGTATTTTTATATCCAAATTTTTTACACACATACAAACATATATATATATATATATATATACACACACACACACACAAACACACATACACAGACACATACATGCACACAAAAATGAACATAACACTGACATCTCATTTTAAGAGATATATTTACCAAAATTGCACAAAAATATCTTGAAATACTAAAGAATAAATACAGGCTTCAACCATGGCCTCCAGACAAATTCAGAATCTCCTGCAACTTATCTGGACGGTCTCCTTGTTTAAGTTGGTCAATGTTGCCATAATCCTTGCCTTCAGTTCATCTTTGGTGCAAACAAGGAGATTTGTTGATCTCACATTCAACTGTTCCCCACAATAATCAAGGGTGTTGCTGTCTTGGGAGTTTGGTGGCCAAATGTAAGGGGTGATGTTGTTGCAGAAATAGTCTGACAGCCATGACTGAATTCTTCTGCTTGTGTGGCATGGTACAGAGTCCTGTTGTCAGAGATAGGGTCTTCCAGCAGCCACCCTCTTGACACAGGGCAGCACAATCTCTTCAGAACACGTGATGTAGGTCTCTGTGGTGAGTCTGAGGCCTTCACCAATAAATCTTGGAGTTCTTTTCTTATCCGAATGATCAAAATGAGTTTTTCAAGCTGCTATACCTGTGTAATCACCATTAGACTCATCCAACTCTTTCTGAATCCTCTGCATTGTCCTCAGATTGGCACCCAAACATTCTGAAATGTTCATATTGGAACTTCAGAGGTGCAAATGCCAAGCAGTACAGAATGCCATTCTCAAATTTCTGGTGGAATGAATTATGTCATGGTACTCTTTTTCTCACAGTTGGTGCCTAACTGACCCTACTATACTGTACAGTTAGCAAAATCAAAAACATGCATGTGCCAAAATAAAAATATAAAATGGTGACAATTTACCCATCGCACCCTATATATATATATATATATATACACAACACAGTACAAGTCAACCTCAGTTAGGATCATAGTCAGCAACTCTATGCTTCAGTTAAATTCATAATCCTTTCTGTAATATGTGCTTTACTTTATCAGGGTTACATACAGTTTTGAATTGAGTGGTCCTTCTCCTAAACTCGTTGGCAACCATGGCTAGAGAGCTCAGTCGACCTTGCTATTTAACCCATACATGGGGGTAAGAATATATGGATTCATATCTTTCTGAAGGGTATTTCTTCAAAAGTGAATGAAGTCAAAGACAAAATGAGCCTGTCTGATGTCAAATAAAGGACACACACACACATATAATATATATATATATATATATATATATATATATATATGGTAAAGTTTATTTATTTATTTTGTCTTACAGTTTTCACCAGTATTGTTCTTGATATATAAAAATTCATATCATCATCTCATATTTTTATATATGTATGTTTATATATATATATATATAGATAGATAGATATATGACGGTTTGGAAAATCATTTACTTTAAAATGTTTTTACAGATCATTAAATTTAATTATCATCAAAAAAATTCTGTTTTAAATTTTATTTTATTTTTATTTTAATTTTATTTTATCTTTAAAAAATTTTATTTTTTTATTTTATTTTATAATATCTACATTAGTGAGATGTTATTTACATTTAACATATAAGTGCTTGATTTTTATGCTACCTGTATCTTATGGAAATTAGATCTTAACTAATTTCAGATCACTCTTTATATTTAATTTTTTATTTATTGATTTTTTTAAATTTTTATGCATCCCACAATTTAGTAAAAACAGGGAACACACTGAAATAGTTTGGTTGCATCTTAATGAACATATACATTATGGCATTTTCAGTGCATGTTTATGTAAATTTTTATATATATATATATATATATATATATATATATATATATATATATATATATATATATATATATATATATATGTGTGTGTGTGTATATATATATATATATATATATATATATATACATAATGTATTTGTATATGTATATATATGTGTGTATATATATATATATATATATATGAATATATTCAACATAATTATATCTATAAATTGTTAATTTTATTTCTTGTGATTGAATTTTATTTTAATATCTAGAAAAATCCAACTGAAAAATATTGACAAAATAAAAAATAAAAATCACTGGATTAATACAGAAATTCTAGAAAGATTTTTAAAATAAACAGTTTTTGTAAATATATATTAATTCACTTAAAGATTTAAAGCATTAAATTTAGATATCAAATATTTAAAACATTCATGCTTAATAATTAAAGGTTTAAAACATTTAAATTTAAACGTTAAATATTTAAAACATTCAATTTTAGATGTTAAAAATTTGGACATTAAGAATTAAAAGATTCATATTTAGACAGTAAAGATTTAAAACATTTAAGTTTAGACATTAAAAATTTAAAATACTTAAATTATGACATTAAAGATTTAAAAATTGAAATTTTGACATTAAATATTTAAAAATTGTAATTTTGACATTAAAGATTTAAAACATTTAAATTTAAATGTTACAGATTCAAAACATTTAAAATTTGTTATTGCCCAATTAAATTATTTAAAATTTGACATTAAAGCATGCTAAAATAATGGAAAACGTTTCAGTTGTTTCTTATGAATTACCTCATAAATATGTCACCACATACCCTGACTGCTCCACCAGCACACCTGTTGCTATACTGTTAGTAAGTTGGTAACCAGTATCCTCAATCAGTTTTTAAATCTGGGTAAAACTAAACTTTCATTACAAGTGACCAAAGTTATCATGCACCTTCATCCATAAATCTAGTATTTTTATTCTCCTTTAAAAGCAGTGCATTTTCATGTTTATAAAATCTTGAACAATTATCAAAGAAGCATATATACGTGAATACGCACAAATATGTACATGTACATAGCTATATAAAAGTGAAACAGAAATCGACAAAGTGACTATTTTGGAATATTTCCAGAATTAAGATATATAAGCTCATTAGTTTTAATTAACATCTGCATTTCTTAATTAAGATTTATAAAAGTGGAAGTGAATATATTCGCTCCGATAATTTTGATTCATTAGTCCTTGCTTCATATATCAAAAAGCCATAAGTTAGCGTTCAACTTATTCTATCAGTTTATTTCTGCCTTCAGCCATCCTTTTCTGTTCACAATGCTATTTTGGTGTCTCTCATTTCTTTAATTGAATTTATTTTAGAGAAAAGATTAGATTCATTTGCAGTGTTCAGCTCGTTATAAACATTGTACAAATGAAAAATCAAATCAGTAGACAGAACTAAGTTTAAATGCAAATCAAAATAAGTAATGAAGCCATGCCCGAAATAAAATTAAGCTGGAAATTTAGCAAAAAGAAGAAAGAAAGTAATAAAGCATCTCAATAATTGATTTTGAATTTCTGTTTCCATTCTTTGATGAGAAATCAGATCTGCTTCTCATTACCAACCATTCTTATTTCTCTTTGAAATAACTTTTGAAGGGCTATTATTGATGTGCTCCTAAAATATTATTTTATTACTGTCACCATTATCATTATGACAACTGATTAATATTCTTTTGAATATTATCATTACAATCATTATGACTATTATTGTTTTGTTATATTTACAAGAGAATCTTTGGTCAAATCAATGTTGTTCATTTCAGCAGTCTTTGAAGTTCATATAATACTTTTTTTTATTAATTCATATACATCATTTAAACTTTATTCATGTTTGTCATTGTCTTTTACAAGGTTGTCTGTTAGTTACCAATTCTGTTTATTTTTATTATTTCATATCTTTTTTTTTAATTTATTTTTTTTTAGTATTTTTAATTTGGTTATTTTTTGTTTATTTGTTTTTCTTTTCTACATATTTTTCAAATTTTTACTTTTTATTCCTTGACTAAAATATACAACTGTATATATTTTTGAAAAGATCTCGATTGCATCTATTTTTATCCTGAAATTGTTACTGAATATGAAAAAGTTTGGAGAATTGAAAACAAATTACATTTCAAAAACAAATCTTGGAATATTTTTGTACCGAGGCAATTAAGCGCCTATTCAGAAAAGACAAGGAAGTTGCCATTGTTAACTTTGACAACGACAAAGAATGGTTCTTATGGAGCTTTTGACAGATTCTTCATATTTGAGGCCAAGTAATTCATAATCTATACCAAAGGAAAAGCATTCCCAATAAAAGCTCACAACTCTGTCATAAATGAATTCATAGAAAAGTAATAAATACATTTTAAAACTTATATGATCTTGTTTTAAAATTTAAAGATAAGAAAATACATTTAAATGAGGATGTGAAATCTAAAAAGAGCATATTGAAAGTCAACCCAATGAAGAGCTTATTTAGTGTAATTTTACATTTGCTTTCGCTAGTTACATACATAAATATGTGTGTTAAGTCTGTATCTGTGCAATTTATAAATACATACCTACATAAATATCTATAGATAAATAGACATTTATGCCTATATCACTAATGTTCATTTAAAGTATCTATTGAATAGAAATACAATGAATTCTCGACTCAGTATGTTTGATTTTATGTATTAAATGGTCAAGTTAATGAACTATTTAAGATATTTGACTAATGTAATCATTACACACTAGTTTATTGTCATTTACTAAGTATGTTTTTTTCAATAGATTTATTAATTTTTAACGAGCCCCGGTGACATTATAATAGGTTGCTTAAGTTTGTTTTTATTTATCTGTATCACATTCTAGCTTTTTTCATACGCTCTCTTTTTCTCTCCTCCAACCTGACTTTCTCTTCCTCTCTCTTTCTCTCAACCACCCTCTCTCAAATGTATTTTCTCTCTCTCCTTCTCTCCCACCCCCTCTCTCTGTTAAGCTCACTTTCTGTCTCCCCCTCTCATCCTCTCTCTCCCAACCTACCTACCTCACTTTTTCTCTCATCCCCTCTCCCCCAACCACTCTCTCCCCACTTCAACATCACTTTCTCTTTCTTTCTTTCTCTTTTTCTCAACCATATTTTCCCTTTCTCCTCCTCTCTCACCCTCTCTCTGTCAACCCTCTTTCTGTCACTCCCTCTCTCTCATCCTCTCTCTTTGAACCTCACTTTTCTCTCACGTCGTCTCTCCTAACCACACACTCTCTCTCTCCTCTATCACTTTCTGTTTCTCTTCCTTTATCTCAAAAACATTTTCTCTCTTTCCTTCTATCTCACCCCTCTCTCTGTCAATCTCACTTTCTGTTTCTCCCTCACTCTCTCTCATCCTCTTTCCTCAACTTCATTTGTTCTCTCTCCCTCTCTCTCCTCCTGTCTCCCAACCACACACTCTCTCTCTCTCTCTCTCTCTCTCTCTCCCCCCCAACATCATTTTCTCTTTCTGTCTCATTCTTTCAAGCCCACTCTCTCAGCCACAAGTTATCTTTATCCCACTCGCTCATCCTCTCTCTCCCAACCTCACATTCTCTCCCCTTCTCTCTCCCCAACTTCACATTCTCCCCCTCTCTCTCCCAACCTCACTTTTTCTTCCTTTTTCTTTTATACTTGTTTGCAGCTGCTGGTTATTCGTTGATCTATAAAAATATATATTTGAATATCTTATGCATTCAAATATATATATATATATATATATATAATATAATATAATATAATATATATATATATATAATATAATATATATATATATATATATATATATATATATATATATATATATATATATATATATATATAAACTTTTTTTTCTATTGTGATAAATTGATTGCCTAAATTAGCTGTAAATATTTCAAAGATAATGAGCTTTTTTAAATAAATTTCTAAATATATAAACACATAAATTAAAAAGATAAAAAGCTTGTCGAATGCCAGCCATAAATTCTTCATATCTCATAGCAACATTTCATTTATCAGCTTGATTTTTTTTTTCCAATTCTTACAACAGAACTGAATTTCTCATGCATCAAAGTTCTGTACAATGTTTTTACTTGAAATTTAATGAACCTAAGGTTTATTAATCGAACCAAACACACTCCAGATATCTTATTATTCTCTTTCATTCAATGTTCATTTTTATTTGGGTTTTTCAATAAGTTATTGTAAATAATCGATTTTTTCCCTATTTTCATGTTAGTCTTTGCATTCTTTTTTCTCACATAATTTCAATTGTCCTATTTTCTTTTCAATTTTTCCCTGTACAGACTCTCTTGCCTGTCACTCCTGCCTTCTGTTGTTCACTCTATAGTTTATTTCATGTTGTCTTGGTACCTTCTAACTGAATCATCAAAATTTCACTGTGCTAATTTTCAGTGTTTTCTGGATTCCAGGTTTTAAGTGTGTTGACATTTATTATAAATTCATTTCCAAAATAGTGTTTTCTTTTTCCTCATCTAAGAACTTTATAAATTTTACAGTATTTCCTCATTAACAATATTACATTATAGAATGTCATTGATTGGCTATATCATTTAGACAATATCTCATGTTTTTACTTATTTTTGTTAAAGTTCTATGAGGTTTATAATTACTAGTTTCCATTTGGTATTAGTTACTATAGTTGGCATTTTATAACGTGTTTATTATATCTGTCTATATTTCTGAATTGAGGAATTGTAACTATTTACATTGTTTAGACTATAGCTCACATCATTATTGTCATATTAATGACATTTTGGCCATGTATGCTCCACCCTTCTTCAGGTGATTTCGAAGAAAACCCTTTATTTTCTCCAGTGGGGTAGCTTGTTCTAGTTCCACATGACATGCCTTTTCTGGATATCTCAATTTCAGTAATTTCTCTTTAGTAGCTCAACCCTCCAAGTTTCTGTGCACATCTACTTGGAAAGTTAAGTTATTAATGTAAATAGTGTAAATTGTTTATTATTCTATATGTGCTGATTCATTTAGTTTCTGTATTTTCCTGTGGTATTCTTTGTGTATTATAGAAACTTTTATAAACAATTATAGCAACTTTTTATAAAGAGGGAACTGTGATTATTCTTTGTCTATTATATATGATATGTTATGACTGACTTTGTTGTATTGATCTGAACCAAAGATTTCAAATGGTTTACAGATTTTATCTTAAGTAAATGAATGTTTTTGTATTTTGTGTCACTAATGCATAAGATTTTATGTGCATAAGTTTTCAGTCAAATATTTTTTTGTACTGAGATGTTGACAACTGACTGGAAATTATTATGTCAGAATGTTCTTATATCTTAAAGATGCTTTTAATTTCTCTTTATTTTAATTTTTGTATCTCTTACAGATTCTTTTTAATTAAAGAATCAGGCACTGACTGCTACACTGTTTTTATTTTTATTCTATTAAAAGTCAACTAAAAAGCTGTTTATATGTATCTTAATCCATCATCTTAGTTGCAAGAAAAGCAATTCTCTTTCTTTTGTTTAGCTATTTGTAATTAAAAACTTTTGAATATCATTAATGCTATTTATGATTCTGTTACGAAATCTTAATTTGAAGCATATTTATTTCCCCAAACTGTTGTTTTGTGAAAGCAGTACCCAAGAGGATACTTCCTGATCACTACAATCTTAAGCCGTTCAAGTCTAGGATTAACCTAATAGTTAGACCTATGCTCCAAAGAGTAGTACAGAGTGTTAACACAAACACACACACACAGAATTTTGACTTAAATAAATGTCAGTGGGATCAGGGGAGAAAAGGATTCCCTAAAAAGAAAATGCATTGAAACTGCACTAATCTCACAATTCTTGATAATGAAGACCAGGACTATACATAATATCGCTGATCAGTTAGAAACCAATAATTGCACAATACATTTTACAAACTGGTAAAGAAAAACTCGAAGTGAGCTGATCCAATAGACACCAACACCTCTAATATATATGTATAAAGAACAAATACCTTCTACTTTCTGGTCATTGAATCTGATGAGGTAATTTAATTTATTGCCCCTCTTATCCTCAAAAATCTCAACACATTTTTCTTACACACAGTTTTGTCTTTTATTCCAACCTGAAAAAGCTGAGACCGACTCAAGTCAATGAAACACATCATTTATAAGCTTTTCCATGTTGTCTCGTCATGTACAGTTTTGTTCTGGATACTATTATATATCTTACAAAGACACACACACACACACACACACACACACATATATATATATATATATATATATATATATATATACATAAAGGGTTAACTTTGTTTTCTGTGACTATTTAGTACACACACACACACATATATATTTATATATATATAATTTAAGTGGAGTACTAGACTGCTGATGAGGTCTCATCAATTTACATTCGTGCTGGCAAGATGTAACCGTAAATTCTATGCTAACAGTTTTTTTTCTTGCTCTTCCCACTTGTGGAACTCTCTTCCTCCTCCCTGCTTTCTAGCCAATTTTGATCTTCAAAAATTTAAAAGCAATGTCAATCACTATCTACTGTCCTCCTGATTCCCCTTCTTCTTCTATTCCTGCTCCTAAGCAATGTTTCTGTTTCTAACTCTTCCACACCCAGTAACCCATTGTGTCTTTACTGCCTTTTTTTTTTTAAATATATGTGTTAATGAGTTTTATTTGTTAATGAGTTTGTGTTTGTATATATTGTACATATGAATCTTAAGTTTGCCTGCACATGTTAATGACTTCAAATGTCTGAAGAGAATCTATTCTCATAATAAAATGCTGACATCACTTCAAAGCTGACTTAAAAGGTATTCTATAATTAACATAGTAAATAAACACAAAGTGTTATGTTAATTCAAAAACTCTTTTCAATAGAAAGTTAACAGAATGAACATTCAGAGACTTTCAGAAATTTTAGGCAAAGAGAGTAGATATAATAAAAAAAATGAAATTTTTATACAGAACAAGAATAAGGACATTCTTCTTATTATAATTCTTTTTCTTCTATGTGCCACATCCCTTCAGAAGATTGGCAATCATGGCTGGCCACAATTTCCTCTCCTTTGCAGCTCTTAGTAAATTTTGTCTTTTCATTATCTCCCAATACCTGTACTGCCAACCACTTACACAAGTTTGTTAGGTTAGTTATTCATTGCTTTCCTCTCTACTTCTTGTCTTCAATAAGTCCTTTGAGTGTCAAATTTCCCAAGCCTCTGTCCTCATTATATGCCTTAGAAATTTTCAACTACCTCTTTCTGATGTTAAGTATAAATTTCCTTTTAGTTTCCATTTTCTCTAAAACTTCATCATTGCTCCTATGTTCAGTCCTTGGTATTCTCAGCATCCTTCTGTAGAACCACATTTCTATTGCTTCAAGACTCTTCTTTATCTGTGAGGATATTGTCCAGCATTCACTGTCATATAGGAGGACTGATATCATATAACAGTTAAGTACTATTTTCTGTGTTTCTAATGGAATTTTCCTGTTTCTTAATACTTTGCTTAACTATTTTTCACTATGCCAATACATCTTTGGATGTCAGTGTTGCATTTTTTGTCCTCCATTACAATACTTCCCAAATATTTAATTTGTGTACCCACTTGATTTTGACATCTCCATTTTGTAATTCGCATGTTGGGCTGTTCCTTTTGCTGTCAACTCCTAATTCTTAGTTGTGTATTTATTTCTATAAGCACAAGTGATAAAACTGAATGAAGGCTAAGCCCACCTTGTGCTTGGGGTAGTTGCATTTTTCTTACCAGAAACAATTATCCAAACTTAAATAAACAGACAAACTTTCACTTTGTGATTTTCTAAGTAGGCAGAAGTTTTGTTGCTGTTAGAAATCTTCAAGTAATGTAGTTTATGTTATTTAGTAAATTCCTTTTTGATTTTGTAGCTCTAGTCTATAAGATCTGATGAAGGGTTGTCATCTTTAAGACCTCAAGGATTCGTTTATAAATCACTACTCATTGCCTAATAAACAATTTTAACATTTTTAATCAAAAATTGCAATTCATTTTCTTCTTCTATATCCATTCAGGACATTGTTAATCATAGCTCTCCATAATTTTCTGCCCTTTATATCTCTTAATAAATTTGTTATCTCTCCTAAACCTTATTCCACCATCCATTTACTCAAGCTCACTAGGTAGGTTATGCATTCATTTGTCCCTCTTGCTTTCAATCTGTTCTGTGAGTGTCAAATTTTCATAGCCCTCTTTCCTCATTATGTGACCTAGAAATTTCAACTCTCTCTTCCTGATGTTAAATATAAGCGTCCTTTATTTTAACATTTTTAATTGAAAATTGCAATTCATCTACTCAAAAATAAGGACCAAAGTGAAGTCTAAATATAACTATGGAAACACTTCATGATGAATAAGCAACAATATCCCAACAACTAAGAAAATCGTACCACACCATATTAGTAAGCTGTGAAAGAGGCTAAATAGGCATCTTCAATAAGACATTTGATTTAATAATTGCATGGATTTTTTTAAAGATAATGTGTCAGTTTGACATTATAATAGAATCGCTGATGTTGCATCATTCATTAAACTTCCTTTTTTTTCGTAAATTTCTGGAATTCTTGTCTTCAAAGGAAAAATTTAATTTAACTGAGCATATGTCCATCAATCACCATATCTCCTGACAGATT